CAACTGGTGTGGGATCAGGCCTTACATTAGTATTTCAAAAAAAGTTTTTGTTGATCACCTAAGAACAGCCATTGTGGGTCAGAGCAATGGTCCATCCAGCCCAGTATCCTGTCTTCCAACAGTGGCTAAAGCCAGGTGCCCAAGGGGGAATGAACAGAACAGGTAATCAAGTGATCCATCCCCTGTTGCTCATTCCAAGCTTCTGGCAAACAGAGATTAGGAGACCATCCCTGCCTTTCTGGCTAATGGCTATTGATGGACCTATCCTCCACGAATGCATCTGGTTCTTTGAAATATTAGTTTGCACTTCCACCTTGCATTTCCACAGAGCCTCCCATCCCAGGCTCCCAAAGCACATCACATAATGACGGCTCTCAGCTTGTGTGGATATCAAAGGGTACATAAGGATCACTTCACCCACCACAGAAATGCAGCCACCTCTGAGCTGGAACCTAGAAGCAGACGAACCATACACAGCAAGGCTGCACAAGAATCTAACACCTGAAATGAAACATTACTGTATCCAACGGTTACCACCAGGAACATTTAGATAAGCTAAATATGGGAGAAGGCAGCAGTGCGGAGTTCTCATTTTGGGGTTGTCTATATTTATACCTAGACGCACAAATGATGCTGTTTGTTTATGTCAGAAAAGGCAGGTTGATGTAGCACACCTTGCATGGGGAGCTAAAGGTACTGAAGTTTGTGATGGTCCTTAATTCCTGTGGGAATTCATTACAGTCTTGGAACAGCCCCCAAGAAAGCTCTGTCTCTTCCACATATGAGCCATATCCTCAATGTTCTTTTTGGATTGCACAGTCCTCTCTAAACATGCTGGCTGTGTCTAGACTGGCAAGTTTTTCAGCCGTCTACACTGGCTGCTTGAATTTCTGCAAGAACACTGACGATCTCATGTAAGAAATCAGTGCTTCTTGTGGAAATACTATGCTGCTCCCATTCGGTCAAAAGTCCTTTTGCGCAAAAAGGCCAGTGTAGACATCTCAGATTTGTTTTGCGCAAAAAAGCCCTGATTGCGAAAATGGCGATTGGGGCTTTTTTGCGCAAAAGCGCGTCTAGATTGGCACGGACGCTTTTCCGCAAAAAGTGCTTTTGCGGAAAAGCATCCGTGCCAATCTAGACGCGCTTTTCCGCAAATGCTTTTAACGGAAAATTTTGCTGTTAAAAGCATTTGTGGAAAATCATGCCAGTCTAGACTTAGCCACTTAGTTTCTGAGTGCCAAGGAGATTACCATGCAGGTTGGTATGGCTGCAAAACAATATATGGATTCAGAAACCAGTAACATGTAAATCAGAACACATATTTTACATTAAAAATCTGCTCCATGGATGAGCACATGGCCTGCAATCTGGTATCACGTCCATTTAAAACTAACTCCACTAAAGTAAACGGAGTTGCTCTGAATTTATGCCCGTGTCAATGAGATCAAAATCTAACCCAAGATTCCCCTTAAAAAGCAAATATACACTCCTCCTTTCAAACCTTAAAATGCAGTATCTTAGATATCAATAGTTGGAGTCGAGAGGTCACAACTGCAAAGATACAGCATGATTTATAGCAGCTGAGAACCCAGACCAAAGGGCCAACTTTTGCTCTCCCTTATAAACGCTGGCCTCTGAATGACTTCAGATTTCCCCTCAAAATAATGGACGGTGTGATCTAGCTCAAGCTCCCTGAAAATGAATGTAACACGAACCAGACCCACATCTGTAAAACAGAGATAATGTAGGTACCATTGAAATCTGCAAAGGGGATTTCTGTTGCTATTCACAGAATGTTGCAATGTGTCAATATGAGAGGGGCGTTATTATCAGCCGAGAAACTCCAGGAAATAAGCCAAGGTTAAGCGAGTGAAATGGAAAACAAAAAGAAAAGCAGAGGACACACATTTAAAACCTATTACTGAGGTGTACATTCTTATGCTTATGGGAGGTTGGGAATATATCAGAGCTGATGACTGCTGAGCAATGAATTCAAGGGCCAGTCTATTGGGAGTATTTTTTTTTCTCAGTGACTTAAACTTCTGTCTGAGCTCTCAGAGTTTTTAGTCAGCTGGCATGTAGCAGAGCTGTGACTTCCCCAAGGAAACCCTTCCTCAACTTTCACTGGAGGGCTGTCGGGACAGCCTGGGAGACGAAGGCTGCTTGCAGAAGTGAAGCTTCCTCATTCATCCAAACAGCAGGTATGTACAGCAGCGAGTTAAACTTTGGTGCTGCTGGAAAGTTGAGCCAAATGTTTCTCTGACTGCAGGCAAAAGTGGGGATTCAGGAACTTGGAGCTGCAGCCTTTTAAAAAACTATACCACCGAGGATGAAGGTAGTGTTTAAATGAAACCGGATTGTCTTTATGAAGGGGCTGAATAATTGATTAAATATACCATGCAGTGGGCAAGATCCATAACAGCTGTTTGGCTAAATCATTGGGGAGCCTATTACAGTGGCTTGGATCATTTAAGTAAGTTTTACAACAAAACTATTGTGATGTCTCCTCTGTGTTTTCACTACTAATAAAAATCATAGTGAGACTTTTTGGGGCCAGGCCAGCATGTTCATACAGTGCTTGGTATAATCGGGGTGCTACTGCAATGTGGGGACATAAACGAATACTATAGAAAGCCTCCTGGCTCACCTTATGGGTCTGAGTACTGGGAAATAAGCCAGGAGACTTGAGTATCCTAGCTCTTTTGCTGACTCACTGTCCAGCCTCAGGCAAGTCATTTAAGCTCTCTAAGGTAGGGACAGCAGTATTTCATTTACCTGTAATCACTGCCATTAAAAGGCAACCTTTAAACTTCCCACTTGGTGGTCACCGCATATGAGATGTCATTCTAAGCATAGAGGGAAACGGGGGGCTCAGAGGCCACTGTAGGTAAATGAAGGCTTATTCACCCCAGGAATTCTCATTCTTGATTAATATTTGCATGATGCCTTGAAAATATGAAGCGCTGCCTCGGTGCCCAATATTCTTTTTCAAAATCTTCCTCCCTCTTAGTCCCTTGCCAGCAAAGGTGCTGGAAGCAAAGATGCTGGGGCCAGTGGGGCTGACAGCCACATGGGCCCCAGGATAAGGGGGTGGGTCCACACCCTCTGGCAGGGGCGAGGCCTCAGGTGAAAGGTGTGGGGCTGGGGCAGCCATTCCTCCGCACTGCTGGGATAGCAGTGCATGTCCCTCCCAGCCCTTACCCACATGGAACGACACTCTGGTGGCAATTCAAAGGGGGCTCGGGCTCTGTCCATTGCCACAGTAGCAGGGGTGGCGGCCGGGCATCCCAGACCCTTTAGAATCACTGGGTCGGAGGGCAATTGCCCTATTTGCCCCCCCCCCCAACTGGTGGGCTTGGATAGGGGGCTGCCAGATGGTTTCCATCATGTCCAGGGTTTACAGTTTGGTTCAGCATCTCTCCACATCCCCACTGTACAGACTGTTCCACACCTGTGCATGCCAGGGTTAAGACAATGGAAATGTCTATCCAAGTGTTGTGGTAGCCACCGTGGCCCGAGGATATGAGAGAGAGAGAAGGTGGGTGAGGTGAAGTTGATCCAATCAAAAGATATACCTCAGCAAACCTCTCTCTCAAAGAAAATAGCATGAGAGCCAACCCCAGCAGCATCATTCATAAAAATGTGTCTGTGAGTGTCTCTTAACAAAGGTCCAGGTTACTCAAATCAGGAAACTTGTCTTTTTAAATTGAAAAGGGGAGTTTCAATTATCTTAATATGTTAAAAAATCTCTCTTATTTACTTAACCCATCCGATTGCTTTTTTAAGCAAAGGGTTACAGCTTAGTGAGCAGCTCAAATATTTTGGACTTTTACCTGAAGAATGACACATTATTCACAAGAGGGTTTACTGGACACCATCCCAGTCAGTCAGAGACATCTCAAATTAATTTCTTGGTCTCGTTTTTATCTCCTTTCAGATTATAGAATACATACCTCTGTCTGAATTCTTCTTTACAGATTGAATGCTCTTGGAATAATAAATACATAATCATAATAATAGCACCACACTAGGTCAAAGATTCATACTCATCTGTCTCAATTGACACACATATAGAGATTATATTCACAATTATTCTTATTATGATGGAGCCCCGGGGTCAACCATTATGCTGGGCAACATATGTACTCAGAGCAGTAGACAGCTCTGAAGTCCTCGTGATGTAAATAGACAAGACAGACATAGGAATGAGGAAGGGGTATAGAAAGCTTTTTTCAGTGTGTGTAGGTTTACTTAAGAAGGAACAGTGAAAAGGGAAGAGAACGAGGGGGACAGGAGAAGAGGATAAAAAGGTGCAGAGTTTCCCATGGAAGATTAGTCCAGTGAGGAAGCAGTTAACAGGGCTGGGGTTCGCTCCTTACTCCTGCCCTTAGAGAATTATTTCTTACTTTTCAAAGGTAATGTAATTCATACAGCTCTGAACAGAACCCAACCATCTACAAACAGACCCTGCACAGAGAGCTCTGCCTAGGGGGTTGCATTAGAGAGCAATTAAACTAGTGATGGACAAACTCCAAAGGTCTGGAGGTTCGATTCACATAACCACCCAGAAGTGTCAATGTTTCTACAAAACCCCTTGCAACTGACCACTGGAAGTTTCATGTGGACCAGTTTCTGGAATGTCTACTACTTTCCACTCTGGGGCCGTGCTGGGAAGCCCATGAACACGGCCTTTGAAAGAAAGGAGCAGCGGAATGCAGAACTCTGAGCAATGAACCTCGGTCCTCATTCTGCTGCCACTGAAGTCAATGGGAAATCCCAGCTGAGTTCACCGAGAGCTGGAGGAGGAAATGACGTGCACTGTGACCTTGGGACGTGATTCCACAAGATCACAGGTGCTCTCCACTTTCATTGACTTCACTGAGACTTGAGGGTTCTCAGCCCTTATGGGAGAGAGCACTTGATCATAATATCACAGCTTCCCAATCTGCAAAATAAGGATAATATATACCTCACGTTATTGGGATGCTCAGGATATATAACAAGCTCATGTCTCCACATGACAATTGCTAAGTGTCATTGCAGCCAAATTCCAGAAGAGCAAATATGAAAATATGGCAGATGGAGGTTACCCACATGTTTCAAAATCTTTAAAACATTTGAGATCAATTCTAGGAATAGGGAATAGGAAATAGCTGAGGAGATTTCATAGTCTTTCCCACAATGTTGGTTCATCTTTCACTATAAATCCAAATTTCCCACAGATCTGACAGTCCAACCCCCTACATCCAACCCACAGGAAATGTGACTTTTCACTAGCACAGAGCATTGTCTTACCTTATGTGCCAGTGGTGAATTCTAACACCAGACAATTTGCTACAGTTTGGGTTTGAAAAGCTCAATTAGCCCCGCTTCCTGGATTATTCCAAGTGCTGGTAAAAAAACCTTTTATTTAAAAACATTTTTTGGGGGTCAACAAGGACTTTTCTACAAAAGTGAAGCTTTAGTGAAAAAAGAAATTCTGTTTCTGTCAAGACTTTCTGCTTTTTCATCAAAACATCCCCAATTTTTTTTTTTTTTTTGGTTTTTCATTTCAATGAAATTAAAGTATTTTTGCACTGAAGGTTTTGCAACAAACACCTGAAAAAATTTAATGCACATTTTAAAAGAAAATATTTTAAAGAAATATTCATTTTTGGTGATTTTTTGCCAGGAAATTTCCCCGGCCTCAACCAATCTTAATCATTCCTCATAGCTCATTTGCAAGTGTCTTTTGAAGCCTAATTCTAAAAGTGACAGAGTGGGATTCACAGCTTTTCCTAGGAGTTGTTTCCACAGCATACTACGTCACACACTTCAGAAGCTTTCCAGTCAGACATGATTTTCTCCTTCTCTGTTTGTTATTGTTAATCATACTGCTGGTATCACACCACAATCCTCTCTTCTCTGGTGTCTATGGCATCCCTGCACAAGGTGCATTACAAAACCAAACAAAACATCAAAAGTCCTGCTCCAAAAAGCTTATTTTTGACCACAGGAAAAATACAGACTCTATAGAGCAACATTCCAATGTGTGAAGGTTTAGCGACCTCAGTGCTGAAATCAGCATAGGGAGGAATTTGCAGGACTGGGTTTTAAATAGGAAAAGGCCCTGGAAGAGTAATATTGTGCGACTGCTCCGACCATAGGGGGCAGCATGAAATAATACAGATTTAACTTAATTCAGAGTAAATCTGAAATCACCATACTATCTTAATGTTAGAGGTAAAATATTCTTTGGCAATGATAATATCTGCTTGAAGGAACAGTAAGTGGCCACTGCCAGAAATCAAACCACTGGTCCAGATGCAGCAGGGCCCACCCCAGAAATCTTTAGTCACCCTACTCCCATAAGTAGTCCCATTTAAATGTACTCAGTTAAGTCATCCAGGGAGTGTTCTAGCCAAGAAATGAACTTCCATTTACTTCAGAGTTATATCAGGTCCCTCTGGACAAACCAATCAGTAAGACAATTTGTGTGAGTACAGATTACTTCTGTGAGTAAGGATTCAGGGATGAAGGGCTTCACTTGCATCAACACCATCTTCTAATTTACAATCCTGAAATCTCAATTTATTTTTAATGTAGAGATTCAGGGACTTTGAAGTTGCCTATCCTATGCTCTGTGGCTCCTTTATAGCCCTTTAGGAATGTAGCTCAGACACAAAAACCTAAAGTAAACACACTGACTGATCCATACTCAGAGTCAAATGACATCTACAAAGATAAGATGAATAATTCTCAGGGAAAACAGTGGGCCCAAACCTGAGAGCCCTGCTCAATCAAAATTCCTGTATTTCTCAATACAAGCTTTCCCCAAGTAAGGCTTGAAGGAGAGTCCCATAGTAGCTAATTTTCTTCTTAATCCAGTGGTTGCTAGGACCCAGCAAACAGCCAGGTGAGGAGTCAGAGGGGAAACAAAGGACATAATTTAAAGCAGACACTGGCCCAAATAAGGATATTTCCCTTCAAATGTCTCAGTTTCATTTGAGACTGAA